TTGCTGCATTTGTGTGTGGCACTTGGCAGCATCTGCTGCCATTCTCACAGTGCAGGTCATGGGAATGACCATTTTATTAGCTGAGGGGTCTTCAAAGGCAGATCTGGACTTGTCTTTATAACCCTGGAGCCCAGCACTGGAGCCCCTGCCAGATATTCATTGGATAGATGATTGGATGAACCCATCAACCAATCTGCTGATCTAATGGAGTCAGCACATGGCTGTTGTAGCTGTTTGAAGCAAGGGAAAATCTGAAGACAATGCCAGACTATAATTAAGCACAAGTAATCATAATTAATTGCTATGTAAATGATATAATTATTAATTATATTTCACTTAGGAAAGTTCAATTACTAAATCATGCCCATTTTCCCCCATGCTTTGCTATCCAAAACTCCCCAGAAATCAAACTTACTTTGGGCCTTTATTAATTTTAGCTTCCACTTCTCTTACTTCAATGGGAAGTAGGCAGGGGGCCTGGGGCCCTCAAGCGCTCCCGTGCAGCTGCGGTCATCACGGAGCCAGGAGCTCCTCCCCTGGGGAAGACTCAGCTGAGCGCCCCTTTCCTTCATGAGAGAGACCCAGGGCTCCAAGAAGCACAGAGCTTTGTTCACTCCACTCCAAATTATCCAGATGGCAGGTTGGCACAGTTGGATGGCCTGCCGCCAAATCCTGGTTCTGCCACCTTGTAGCTGTACGACCTTGGGCTACTCATTTGTTGTCCCTCTGAGTCATTTGTGCCCTCTGGAAAATGAGGATAGGCATGGTTCCTGTCTACTGCTTGGAGGGGTTAAATGAGTTAATGAGTAAAACACTTAGCCTGGAGCAGATGTTGTTAATAAATGTAAGTTAATAATAGTATCTGCACTTTGCAGCAGAGCGTCCCAATTTGTTTTTTCTAAAATGATCTCACATGGAACACCAATTATATTGCCAGTTGTTGAGTATTTATTGTACGGCTGACGCTACTCCAGGTACTTTCTTATTTAACTCTCAGAACAATCCTGGGAGTTAGATGTTATTATGTCCCGACTACTCTGAGAAAATGAAGAGTCAGTGAGTTAAACTAACTGGCCTGAGGTCCTCCAGCTAATGAACGATAAAGCCAGGAGTCAAACTCTGTTCTCTCAGACCTGGAAGCCCAGACTTTGAAATGTCATTGTTTTTTCAATCATTAGGTATTTATTGAGCACCAACCAGGGAGCATGGAGATACACATTTATCTTCCAGTCTTACTATTAAAGTTTCACTCTTAAGAATGGAAAGGGAACGCATCACAAGTCACCCACCCTCTCTGTCCCCTGCAGTACAGAGCTGGGCGATGCATCTTTGTGGGGCATGGCTGGTTAGGAGACAGGGTCTCTGTGCTTGCCATCAGCTTCTCCTCAGACTGTCTCACCCTTTCTTTAAAAACGTTTTTATTTGGAAAATATACCCCATCTCTACATTTGCTAGTAGGTTGGCGGACTTGTATTTTTTCTCCACTGCATGGTAAACTGCTTGATCATATTTATATGCATACATTCAGCTAACATTTATCGAATGCCAATTATACGCTGGGTCTTTGCCCAGTCCTGAGGACATAGTCCCTGCCTTTGGGGACACAGTGGGAGTGACCTCGAGATAAAACATACAGTAGTACCCATAATGCACAGCTATGCTTGCTAACATGGCCACGTGTGCCAAGTGCCTGAATAAGTTTTGATTCAGTGTGTTTGTGGGAGGGGAAGACTCAAGCTAATTTTACAAGAAAAATAGCATTCGACTGAATAGGAAAAGCAGGAAAGAGCATTCAAGGCCCTTGGAACAGAAGTGTGAAAGTATGTCCTGTATGTGGGAATGGGGAGTTTTCTGTATGGGGCCAGAGCGTGGGGTACCGTGTTAGGGAGAGAAGAGAGGTAGAAGGTAGACTGAGACTGGATTGTGGATTTTGATGTTATCATAAAGGAGTATGGCCTTTGTCCTCTAGGCCAGAGGAAGAGGAAGGCATCAGCAGTTTTTAAGCAGGGATGTGACAAGTCCCTGCATAATGTGACAAGATGCGTGTTCCTGAACTATAAGTGGTGGTGGTGTGGAGGAGTGGGGAAGAAGGAGATGGAAGGCTGCTGCAGTGGCCCAAGACGGAGAGGGTAAGGGCCTGAACTAAGTCAGTTGAGGGTGGACACACAGGGGACACGTGTGAGAGTCAACAGACTGGGATCCTTGGGAGGCTGTGGGTGAGCCATCCTGGAGGAAGAGGTGGGTGGGGGCTGGAGACAACGGGGCTCCACATAGAAGTCGAGGCATACAGTTGGTCCTCCAGGGCTGCTGAGACACTGTGGGTCATTCAGTGACAATGTCAAACAGGCCATTGGGGACCGAATGGGAAATCAAGGCTGGAGATTAGGGCCAGACTAAGCAAATAGATACTCATTTCAATTGGAATGTCAGATAAACAACAAATCCCTTTTTAATGTAATGATGTCCTGTGCAATACCTGGGACAAGTAATCTTTTTTTAGCATATCTCAGATATTGCACAGGACATACTTATACTCAAACATGATCAGTCGTTTATCTGACAATTGAACTGGGTGTCCTGTATCTTACCTGGTGACCCTACTTGAGAGGTGCCAAGGTAGAGTGCTCAGTATCCCTGTCCCGCCTCTCCCCTCACTGCCAGCTAACAGCATGGCTTGTGCCCCAGGACATGGGGCTTTTACTACTAAACTTGGGATGTCCCAGGCAAACTGGGACAAGTTGGTCAGTCTAGGCTGCACAGATGTTGACTGAATTGAATTTAGAGAATCTTCTGACCCTTCTGTGACCTTCTGGGGGCCTTCAGTTGGGGCTGGTGCTGCATGCACCTTGGTGAACTGCAGGCCACGCCAGGAAAGGGGTCCACACTCCAGAGACCACCATCTGCGGTTCAACATCTCCACGATGCCATCCACCACCTTGATTGTTCTGGAGAATTCCAACCTTTATTGTTCCAATAAAGTTCCAAAGGAACTTTCCTTTGGTTTGTATTTTTTTCTCTTAAAGAACATTTGCTGCTGATTTAGCCCTGTTTTAAAATTCTGTCCAGTCTAGATGTCCTGTTTTAATCTCTGTGTGACTTTTCTTGAGTAATTTCCTTTCTTCTCAGTTCAGTAGTTCACCTCCTGGAGTTTGCTTATCAGACAACATACACCACAGGCCCGGACTTTGTTCTGACATCTCCTTATATTTAATCCCAATGCTGTTTCTCTGCCAAGCAGATGTGTATTAAAATGTGCATAAGAAAAGAAGCGAGCTGGGCTTATTTAGAAATTTCCTAAATTTGCACAAACTCCATTGGTATGAGATTTTTTTTCTATAAGAAACCACAACAAACGTATGTTAATAGCTACTTAGATGGATCAAGACAAATTCATATTTGGCCATTTCTGCCATCATTGTTCTGGCCCCATTGCCAGAGACACAGAAACAATGATTGAGTATTCATGGATGTGGAGACATCTGCAGCACATGGTACCTTTTTTCTTGCTTGTAGGATCCCTTTGCTCACAGGAACGAGTGACTTGAACAGCCTGTTAAATGGTTTTGTCCAACTTAAAAGAGTTTGAGTTTTATTTTTTTCTTGTCAGGTATTCTATCATTTACAAGGTGTTAGAAATGACTTCAATTTCCACTCAGGTCTTTGGGTGTCGTGTGTGTGTTTTAAAACAGCTTATTTTCAATGTGATAAAGGCATTTAAGAAACAAGCTTTCACTCACTAAGCTAAAGATATGGCTACCAGGCTTAAACCATACAAAGAGAAAGGGAGAGTGAATATTGTTTATTACATACACATACGTGTGTGTGCGCATACACACACATACACACACATACACACACATGATTTAATTATTTAAAAAATATTCTGAGGGGCTGGCCTGGTGGTATAGTGGTTAAGTTCATGTGCTCTGCTTCGGTGGCCCTGGGTTCGCAGGTTCAGATCCCCGGCGCAGACCTATGCACTGTTTACCAAGCCATGCTGTGGCAGCATCCCATATAAAGTAGAGGAAGATGGGCACAGATGTTAGCCCAGGGCCAATCTTCCTTGGCAAAAAGAGGAGGATTGGCAACAGATGTTAGCTCAGGACTGATCTTCCTCACAAAAAAAAAAAATATTCTGAGCCCTGTTTTCTGGACTGGCTATTCTAGATCTGACTATTAAAGGATGGACATACTTTTCATTATCTTTTGTGACACACACATCAACCTCAGGGCCATTCGGTCCGGAAGTTTTAAAAAATAGAACTGTTACAGCAAGAACCTGGCGGGAAGGGGGTCCCATATATCAGGCAGTGCAGTCCAGAAAGGAGGGAAAGAACTGGCCAGACCTGGGTCAAATTCAAAGCCAAGAAAACACAGGGTCAGCAGGAGTAGGAAGAGAGCAGGTGGCACGGAAAAGCAACCTGCGATCCACAATCAAGTAGTATTTGCTCTGGGTCTTGTTGACAACTTGTGGCTGCGTGTGGGCAGCCAGGAAGATCTGGAGGCCTGCAGGCAAATCCTTCCTGAGTCCCAGCCAGTGGCTGAAGTGCTGGACCCAGTGTCAGAGCCTGAAGATACCCCAATCATTCCCCCAAGAAGAAACATCAGACACTACTTCTAGACTTTATTATTTCAGCCCTGAAGCAAATTAAGCATCTAAGGCCTATAGGCCAGATGTAACTTACAGGGATTGTGTTGGGCAACACCTGTCCATCAGGTTGGAACCTGAGTTCCGTCCTGTAGAAAACCACTTCCTCATCGACAACTGAGTTTCAATTGAGTGACAGTCTTCACTTGCAACAAATAATTATTGTAAATTTCTAAATGCATCAGTGTCACTAGGGTGATGTCCCCAAGCCATCTGATATTTTTTTCTAGCTCTTTAGCTATGCATGTACAGTATTGCCATTATTTATTACACCTGGACTTGTGGATCATGAAGTGTATGTCTGGAATTGGGTGTGAGTTCACTCATTAGATTTAATGCCAGGGAACAATGCCTTTGCTTAACTTTTTATTCATCATGGCACAAGATAGAACTTTAAGAAACACCACTGAAAATGTCATCGCCAACATGAAAATTAAGAGTAGCATGTTTTATAAAAAAATTCTTTTTCTATAATACACATTCCCTTATGAAGTGAAAAAAATCTCATAAAATACTGAAGCGAATTGCCACCTGCTGGTCAAAAATGGTTTTGTAGTTGTTGAAAAAACGACTGAAGTATGGTAGGAGCATCTTACAATACACAAAAAATTACCAAAGAAGACATTTCCTCACCCTTTGGCATGATGTAAATACAAAGCTGTGGCTTTTTTCCAAATATGATTTACTTTACAAAGAATTATGTATAATTTGGTTAATACTGATTATGGGGCAAAAGGAAAAACCATGTTCTGTAATTTGAATACTCTATTTAGATTTTTAAACACTTTATAGTTGGATTCCAGTTTGTAGTTTTGAAAAATACATAGAAATTATACATTATAAATATATATTATATATGGTCTATATAAAATTGAATTTGACCTAAAATGGGAAGGACAACTTCTTAATTATTCTTTCTTTTTTAGGCACGGCCTTTCTCTTGTTCGATTAACTGAATCCTTTCTAAACAGATTCTAAAAATATATTCCATAATGTATCAAATTTAATATTTTCCTTAAAACACATTCAATATGAAAAAGCATTCAGTGACTATATTTTTTTGTATCCCACTACTATATAAAAATATGGCTTCTCATATTCTGTTTTATTTTGTTTTGTTAGTGTTTTTCTTAGGCATTGAAGGAAGGGCTGTCCCCAGTTAAAAAGCTATGCCAAAAAGCACAGAAACCCGCTTGTGCATATTCTAGAACATTCTATAGAATCTCATTGCTTAGTATAGTGAAGTGATTAAAAAAATTGTTCCTTCTGTTTTCTGTGAATATATCATATATGATTATCATACATAATCTGTTACAGAATACACAATAGTCAAAACTGAAGACATATAAATACAATTAAGCTATACCAAAGCAAGAGTTTTATCTTATACAGAGCCAATGTGAGTACTTTTTAGATCGGATATTGCCATCCGTTTATGTTTTTTTTTTCCTAAGGCTGGCTACACAATAGAACGTTATAAATGGCGAAGGTACTAGTTAGTGCTCTATATTTTTAAGTGAACTGAGTTTCTCTTGTGTTATTTTTTAAAAGTGTAAAATAAAAAATAAGTAAGTGTCCAATTGTTCAACAACAACTTTTTTCCCTACTGAGTGGAAGAAGGCTGTTTGGGATGTGAGGGCTCAAGCTCGGGTGGGCTCATACCAGTGTTTCCGGGAGGGCATCGGGGTTGTCGGTCGATAAGAGCTCCCAGATTTGCCACCGCTCTGTCTGCCAGTCGAGCCAGTTGGGTTCACCCAAGGTCTTACTGTTTTGATCGCTGGTGGGACTGGAGTAGGCGCTGCTCAGTTTTTGCTGGGCGGCCTGATGTTCTTGCTCGGCTATTTGGCTTCCCTCTTCCAAAGCTGTTCCAGAGCCTTCTTCTGGCCTCTGAGGCCTCCACAATGGTGGCTCTGTGGGCTGGTGAGCCGATGCTAAAGCTTGCTTCCCTGGACCAGGATAAGGAGGAGGAGGCCTCTTGTCATGCCTCGCACTCTCTCGAGGTCTCTGGTGCAAAGGCTTGGCTCGGCTCTGAGGCCAGGCCACATCCAGCTGGCTCTCGGTGAGGTCTTCGGCACTGCTCAGAGTCAAATACTGCTCTGACCTTGGCGTGGCCAGCTTGGCTCTCCTGCTGCCACCCTGGATGTGGGGCGTGCTGCAGACGCGGGACACAGGAGGGTGGGCCCTGTGCTCCACGATGGTGGCTGTGGTCTGAGTCCTCCGAATGACCTGTGTACCACTGTCCAGTTCTGTGGGGCTCCCTTGCCACCGAGGCCGATCTGGGGACAGGTTCCCTTGAGAAAGGGAGCATGGTCCCGGTCGTAGGGAGCTGCTTTCAAAAATGTCTCCATAGGAACCTGGGAGCCAGAGAGAAGGGCAAGAAATGGAATTAGTTTGTAGAATCCCTGTTGATGTCTTGTTATTTCCTTCCCACTGCCAACTTCAAAAATTGAAAAGACACAGGATATTCTCAGCTGCCGCTGCCTAAAGAAAAAAACTTCTTAGTAAAAGAAATGACAAACACTTTTTGATTATTGGCACAATTCACATAGCAGCTCCAAATACAGATGCCTAGACTCTGATAGGTTAGCTGTCAAACTAGATTAAATAGTCCTTGTCACTAATTTCTGTCTCAGGAAAGGCCCCTTCTACATGGCTATAAAAACTTTCCTGAATCTAGAAGGTGAAGGAAGCATTCCCTTCTTGTCCAGTACAGTTTACAATCCAGAGGAGATACAAATTATAATGTTTCATGTTTCTACCATGTCAATAAAAGCTGTAGGAATAAATGAATTGACTCTAAAATGGCCCATTTGATGGCAGAAGATAATGAAGACAGCAGTCACTGTGTATATTCTACCACCACCATTGTGCAAAGGACTGGCTCGTGGTTCACCAAATCTTCCCCTTCTCTTTCTGGATGACACTTCCCAGCCTCCCTTCAGTTAGGAGAGCCACATCAATGAGGTCCGGGCAATGAATGTGGAGAGATGTGATGTGAGCCATTTCTAGGCCTGGTCTGACAAAAACAAATGCATCCCTAGTCTTCTTTGCTCTCTCCCTTTGCTCAACCTCCAGCCTGAGAGGGAGAAACCCTGGAAGACTCCGAGTGCTCTGAGGATGGGGGAGCCCCCACCTAGATGGAACCTGGGCCTCTGAATGACCATGTGAAACAGAGCGCTCTCACCCTTCCTTACCCTGCACGATCCGCAGGGGATTGTGATGTGAGGGAGAAATCAACCTGTGATAGGTTAAGCTGCTGACTTTGAGGGGGTGTTTGTTACAGCAGTTAGCCTTCCCTAACTGATACAACTTTCTTCAGGAAAGTGAAGGGAGAGTGAAACAGTGCATTTCATAAGCAAATGAAGAGTTCTTGGGGTCTATCTCCCCAGACTGCTACTTTCCTATGGGTCTGCCCTGTCCTCTCACTTCTTAAAAAGTAGGCAGGGAAAGAGAATAAGATCATTTTGGAGGGGGGATGTGAGCATTTACACAGAGACAGATCAGACTTGAAACAGCAGAAGGAAAATGGAGCAGAACATCTTGGAATAGTTTATCCTTGGGAGAAAAGGCAGTAAAGCATTTCATAGGATACAATGAGACATGGTTAGATAATGGATCAGTACTGAAGTCAGCTGGATTAGAGGCCATTAATTAAAAATGCACTGATGCACCATGCTTTAAAAAATAATATGGGAGGTATTACAAAACAATGAGAAAGGGACACACACACATACACACACACATATATATATACATATACATCTGGAACAATGAAACAAAATAATTTACATACTTCATGCTATATAGCAACATATATTCCAGATGGATTAAAGAATTAAGGGTTTAAACAATGAAATACTATGGAAGAGAAAAGCGTTATAGATGACTGAATATCTGATACTTAAGTAAAGATTAATTTTGTGAAAGAATTCAGAAAAAGAGATAGTGATAGACTTAATTACATAAAACAAAAAATAAAAACTTCAGATGTCCAAAGCGGGGAAAAACGCAAGGGATAATATCAGCGGCAAACAATATGGACAAAGGGTTGACATCTTTATTATAGAAAGAGTTTATAAGAATCAATTTAAAACATTAGCATGCATAAATAGCCAATGACATAAACGATAATTCAATGGGTGAAATTCAGCTAATTAATAGAAAAACTGAAAAATAATGGTGAGAAAGAAATGCAAATGAAAATAATAAATACAACTTTGTTTTTTAAATTAGCAAAAATGCAAACCCAGTGATTTGCAGGACCAATGAGATAAAGCAACATGGACAGTACAGTGAAATGCTGTATTTTCCAGTAATATTTGACAAGCATGCAACATGATGATAGCAAGGCAAAAATTAAAGAAAATTAGTTTAAAAAGTAAATGAAATAAACAGTGTTTTAAAAATAATACTTTACCTGTCATTCCTGGGTCTTTGGGTCCACTTTTTAATGTTGAATGCCAAGTTCCCCAGATATTGAAAGGCTCCTCTGACATATCTAGGAAAAAGGGTACAAAAAGGTAGGTAACTCACAATAAATATTGAAGGGCAAGAATCAATAAAGAAATATTTTATAACATCTCTTCTATGCAAAGTACTATATTTCAGACTATGGTGAATACAAGACAGACTATGATGCAGAGCTGCCGTTCAGGAGACTTATTCCATTTGGGATTTACAAAAAGGCTCTTTCTATATCTGGTTGTGGTAGACAGAATAAGCGCCCTCCAAAGATGTCTATGTCATAATCCCCAGAACCTGTTAAGATGTTACATTCAAAAGGGACTTTGCAGAGGTGATTAAGTTATTGATTTTGAGATGAGGAGACTGAGTGGGCCTGAGGTAACCATAAGGATCCTTATAAGAGGGAGTCAGGAGAGAAGATGCTACATTGCTAGCTTTGAAGATGGACGAAGGAGCCATGAGCCAAAGAATGCGGGCAGCCTCTAGAAGCTGGACAAGGCAAGGAAACAGACTATTTCCTAGAGTCTCCAGAAGGGAACGCAGCCCTGTGGACCCATTTTAGACTTCTGACATCCAGAACCGTAAGATAATAAATTTGCGTGTTGTTTTAAACCACTAAGTTTGCGGTCATTTGTTATAGCAGTGATAGGAAATGAATACAATGGTTATGGGTGATGACAGCCTTCTAGGCTCCAAGGACATTAACATAGAGCGAGAGGAGCACTAGTTATAGTTTCTGTACTATCCTCAGGAATACTTGGCTATTGACATCAGCAGATTCATTCCTGCATGTATTCATTCATACATCCCCTTAGTCTATCTGTAAATATTTACAAGGTAAGCATTTTCACCATCTCATTTAATCCTCCTTATAATCCTGTGATGTGATTATAATGCCTATTTCTAGAAGCAAATGTCTACTGGGTGCTTCCCTGTGCTCAGCAGTTTATATGCATTCTCTCATTGAATCCCAAGGAGATGCACCTGAGTCCATACAGATGCGGCAAGTAGTGAAAACAGCAGGTAAGAAATGCCACAGGGTTACGTAGCAAATATTATCGAGCACTTACATGCCAAGTCCTGGGTTAAGGACTTTACACGGATTAGCTAACTAAACCCTATGAATTAATACTGCTATCTTCCTTAGTTTTCACAGGAGGAGGAAATGGGGCTCTGAAAATTTCAATCACTTGCTTAATATCCTGCAGGTCCAAAGCGGCAGAGCAGGTTATCAACTCTAAATCTAGCGTTCCTGTCATTGGATTCTAACAGTTTGCTTCTAGTTCCTTCAGGGTTAGTTCCAGGGAGAAAGTTACAGCTTAGACACGGTTGCTCAACCTTGGTAATACTGACTTTTGGGGCTGGATCATTCTCTCTGGTGAGGCTGTTCTGTGCACTGTGGGGTGTTGAGCAGCGTCCCTGGTGTCCACCCACTAGATGCCAGTAAGACCCCTCTCTAGTTGTGACAACCAAAAATGCCTCTAGACATTGTCACATGTCCCCTGAGGGGCAAAATTAAGAGCCACAGTGTTAAAGTTTGCTAAGATATTGAAGGGATGGAAAGAGATAATGTGTGCCTTAGTCTATCTGCTAATAAATGAGAGCTACTATGTGTCTTAGCCTACCTGCTAAAAACTGGGAAGCAAAGACACTGACCCTGGGAGGAGAGAATTAAGCTTTCCTGCTGTGAACTTGTCTAATAATATCTCTTTGAATCTGTATTTAGAAATCCAAATATGCCATGCCTTTCATAATAGCAAAATTGTCTTCAGATTGCTTTTTTGTTGTTGTTGCAGAGAATATTAAATATAGAAAATTTGTCACTAATTTAAAAGAGAAAAAATTAGAGATCATTTATATATATATCAGAAAGGGAATAGTTAAAAATCTACGATATATCAATTTAATGGGAATATATCATGGCCATGAAAAACGTTAGCAAAATGAACAATGCTTAATGATATGATTTTAAGTAAATAAGCTTAGTCCAAAAGTAGCTATACTATGAAAACAAATATATAAAATTATGTATGCACATGGACAAGGACTAGGAAAAATCAAATTTCACATTTTAAAAATAAATTTTATGCCTGGTGGGAACATAGATTACTGTTTTCATTGTAAATTTTTAAAGTTATTTTTTGACACGAATATTTGTAAAATAAAAATAAAGAGACATGATTTAAAAACACCAAAAAAAAAGAGAGAGCCTTTTTATAGTGGCTCTTTGGATTAAATTATAAATTGAAGATTAAATAGCAAGAATTTGTACTATGTCTTCCAATTATTACTTAGTGTCTTGCTAAGTCCTGGCTCTGAGGAATTACTCTGTGGAGGGAAAGAACAGAACCAAACATTCGGTGGTCAAATAAATTTGGGAAAAACTGAAAATCACACCCTCCTTCCTATTGTAGAAATTCATGGTGCCCATTAGCACTTCAAAGAGTTGGAGAAATTGTACAGTAGAGAAACCATTAGCTTGGTTAACCCAGCATTTCCGAAGTGTATTTGACCGCAAAGCCCTTATTTTGCCTAAAAATCTTAATCTCCAATGGAGGCCTCTTTGGAACATGATATCTCATGTAGATTCAGCTTATTAAGTAACAGCAATAATTGGGAGACTAGCAAATGTGCACCCAAATTCACTGACCAGGATACATGAAATTCCTCAGATGCTGGAGGGAAAAGAGTCAGCTGGGAGTACCAGTGGCTTTCTGAGCATGAGAGTGTTTCCTAGACGCCTGGCTCTGCAGGAACCCTCCAAGACAATAACTGGGGTCACCACACCTTCCTCTTCCTAGAGTAGGTGTTTAGCAGGTACTCCGCAAATGTTCAACGAATTACAGAAACATAAAACAAGGAAGGGATGGAGAGAAGGTCCAAAGCGCCTACTCCGTGCCACACTCAATCAGAGTCACTGATTTGGCCAGCGCTGGCCAGGCTCCTTACCTTTCCCAAGCCTTGGTCCAGGAGAACTCTCCCTTGACTTTGACGATGGCAAGCGGCCCACCAGCACATACTGCTCTGGCCCTTTGTAAACCTTCTCCGAGCCCCCCGAGGCCGCTTCCTCTTGCATAGCCAGCAGGGAGCGCTCAGACAGCACTGGGGAGTTGTTGTCATAAGGGGAGAGGTCTCCGCTGGAGGCCTTGTTGGAGTCTGTGGATGAGTGCCTTCCTCCCACGGAAAAGGAAACTTCCGACCGCAGCATGTCAGGGCTTCTGGTACAAGGAGACAATTACAGGTGCGTGAGTGTGTTAATAATTAGTGACCAGATTCAAACAACACAACCGTTACACAAATGACAGGAGGAGAATGCCTGGACACAGAGGCTGAAACAAAAACACCTTTTGAGCAATGTTCCAAGACTTCTACATCAATAAGGTGAAAGCGTTTCCATGAAATGACCAGCAGAGGGCAGCAAAACCCAACAGATGTTACAGGCAATGTCAAGGCGAAGGGAGGGAGGGAAGATGCAACCGAGATGGATCCCTGTGTTTTCCAACGTGCTTCGCTGAAATGCCTGTTGATTTAATCCCTGTTTCCATCTTAAAATTAAAGTCTCATGCTCACTCTCTGTTAAGTAAGGAAAAACTGGTAGATAACCCTTTAACTTTCCTCAATATCCTGAATTAAAAATAATTCAGATAAAACTATGATTGAAATTTTACATGAAGTTCATTATGGCTTTATGAACAACTTTTCTTCTCCAGCCCAAATACTTAGTGTAAGTAAATCTATCCTTCCTGTGACAACGACGACGACGACCGATGATGATGATGCTACTGGTGGGAATAATTGTTTCATGTGGAAAATGCCTGAAAAGATAAATATATGACCATCACTAGAGTCCATTGTATTTAAATACACCTAAAATGGTTCTACAAGGCACTAGCGCTTTTACAAATTGATATAAAACGTACTAATTAGCACATCCATTACGTTTTACATGTGCATGAATTGTCACAGCAACAGAAATAACAGCAAAAAAATGAGTGGAACAGGAAAACGAGACAGTCAGGAACATGAAAGCAGTGTTCGAAGTCTTACCTGGGAACATCTGTATTTTCTACCTTCCTCAAAACAGTGGCCCTGACAACATCTTAAAGGGAAATGATGACAGATTGATTAAAATTTCCAGAACCTGGGGGCCGGCCCTGTGGCTTAGCGGTTAAGTGCGCGCGCTCCGCTACTGGCGGCCAGGGTTCGGATCCCGGGCGCGCACAGACACACCGCTTCTCCGGCCATGCTGAGGCCACGTCCCACATACAGCAACTAGAAGGATGTGCAGCTATGACACACAACTATCTACTGGGGCCTTGGAGAGAAAAAGGGGAAAAAAAGGAGGAGGATTGGCAATAGATGTTAGCTCAGGGCCGGTCTTCCTCAGCAAAAAGAGGAGGATTGGCATGGATGTTAGCTCAGGGCTGATCTTCCTCACAAAAAATCATACAAAACAAAACAAAAGTTCCAGAACCTGCTTCTGTTCCCCCCTACTTCACTTCTCTTTGCTTTCTTTTGGTTTAATTTTTCAAAACAAATCCTTTGTGACCTTAAAGAAGATAAACACATGCCTGAGTGATCCTTTGTTAACCAAATGGTTTTGTGCATGCAACACCGAGGAACTGCGCTCTCAGGGGATCTAGCTGTGTCTGGGGTTTCCAGCAGGGGTCAGTGTCCGCGTGGACAAGCAGCTGAGCGTCTGTGACGTGCCTCCTTGTCAGTGAGGCAGCCAGGGGCTCCAGCACTGTTTGCTGAAGGAATTTCTTACCCACATGGAATAAATAAGTCCTTTCCTTGCCTTCTCTTTAAACCGATGACAGATAATCTTATGGGAAAGAGTCAGAGGACAACCACGAGGATGATTTTTCCAGAAACTTTAGGCCTCCAATGAATGAAGGAAAAATAAAAGGAACTTACGACTTCTACTGGAAAGTGGAGAAAAAACTATTTAATCTCCGTATCTAACTAAAGGTGGAAAAGTCTCACTAATTCTAGTGAAGGGAACATAAAACAAAACAAATGGACAGACGTCTGTCTTCACGGGTTTGACTCTGGTTGAGGAAACTTTACTACGAAAAGGAGAAAAATGGAATATGTAGAACTGGTAGCTACTCTGAGCTCAGGTCAGAATCAGGGTTCTATGTTCTGACCAGGGCTAGAAAGTATGTTGCTGGGCTAATCTCAATTGTTTTCTCTGTTTAGTTGACATTTTTCCCAGTCATTAATGAAAATGCCTTATGTTTGTTTAGCAAGAATAAGTCATGGTGTTATACCAGTAATAGTGGTACATAAAGCCTTATTTTATGGACGTTTTAAAGAAAGTCAAGTCAGTTCATTAGCTAAAACAAAATAACTATCAGGGCTATGAATGCTTTTCTGCCCCCTCCCATTGGGAGGAAAGTTTTGGAAAGGTTGTATTTTAGCTCATGCAGACTCCAATAGTTCTGTCTCATGTCTTGTTCATCTGTCTTACAAAACACATAGAAGAGAATACATTCAACAAAATATTATAAGTTGTAGATTCAGCCAACAGTTACGTGCACAAAGAAAGATACCCTGTGGAAGAAATTTCTCTTAAGTCTCAGTACTAGGGAAATTTGGGTTTCTACCACGGAAGTAGGTTATTTTCACTCCACGGAACCATGCATCACATAATAAATAATGTATCTCTCTTTGCAATGACTTCTAAAACGCTCCAAGGAATTGGGGCTCCATTCAAGTTGCTGTATCAGAGCTTGTGGTATGCCTTTGTGTGTTTCACACCCCAACTTCATCTTATCTTATCACTCTTTCCATTGTTTTCCTTTCTGTAGTCTCTCAAATTATTTACTACAATATGGTTCCACTTTACATATTCTTGCAAGCTGCTTCAATAAATTGTTTTTAGACTGATGTACAGATAGGAAAATTACACCCACATTAATTGTTGGGTGTATTGAAAAGGCAGTGTGCTTTGTGAGAACATTTAGCTTGGTTAAAACAAAACAAAGTAAAACAAAGAACAATAATAACAATAGCATATGTACCCAAAGCTGCCACATGGATTTTCCCTCTATTTTCATGGCTATGATTGGATCTGACCAAGTAGAAGTGAGACAGGAGGAGGCGGAGGGCCATTGTCCCTTTCTTGTTCTTTGGGCTGACTCTGCAAAGTCTCACTCAGTGGTACTGACACGGCAGCATCCACATCACCTGGGAACTTGTTGGAAATGCAAATTCTGAAGCTCCATTCTAGACCTACTGACAGGACTGGCTATAACATGCAGGGCCCAGAGCAGAATGAACATGTGGCACCCGAAGTTAAAAAATTATTAAGAATTTTAAGATAGTGAGAGCAGATCATTAAACCAAACACAGGCTTTTTCTGAGTGTGGGGTCCTGTGTGACTGCACAAGCTGCAGCCTGTGAAGCTGGCTTTGCCAGCTAATTGAAAGGAAATCTCTGGACGTGGGGCTAACAAACTGTGTTTTAAAAAGCCCTCCAGGTGATTTTGATGCATAGGGAATTTTGAGAACCTCCGATACCAAGCCCACTTTCCCTCCCCCAATCCATAGATGTGACAGTGGGCCAAGGATCTGCTGAGTCAAATCAGGAGGGAAAGCACAGATAGTGGCCCAAACCTCAGCACTAGCAGGCAGTGGGGGTAAAGGTGGTGGCCTTGACCTTCATGTGGCTGAGGCCACAGCTGAGTGAAGGAGGGAGAGTGTGCCCATCCCAGCCAGCTCCAGTCAGCAGGATACAGACAACTGAATGTAGTCTGGTTACAGATCAGAACATGTCAAGGTGAGAGAGGGGCAGGAGAGGCCAACCTGTCTTTCTCTGCTCTTCTAGTTCATTCTCCTAAATCAAGCCACCAAAGTGACCACAGCTGGGGCCCCAATCAGGGGAGACATATGCTAGCTAAAGCTAACTCCTGGAGGTAGAGGTGGATGAGGTGTCTCACAGTTGACATAGGCCATGAACCTCCTCAGGGTGCCTGGGGTCACAGCCAGGGACATGGCAGATGGGGCTGTGCAATGACATGCGTTGCCTTCTTTTCCCAGCCACCCAGCATATCTTGGTGATGGAAGGGGATACAGCTTGACTACACACGGCAAGCAGCTTGTGAGATACACTTATGTGAAATAACCCCTCGGCCTGTGAGAAGAATAAAAATTGATGTTTATACAGAGTTCATTATGTGGCAGGCACTGTGCTAAGCTACTGCTAACAACTTTCCTTGTTCCTGATCACAGTCTAGAGATGAGTGAAAGAAACGAGGAGACGACTGAATAACATGTCTTTCTAACAGTAGAGGCAGCAGGGGTTAAGACCCTTCTAAAACTTATTTGATAAATAGTATTCAAAGTTATTGAAAATCAATAGTAAAATGGTATATTTTATATTTAGAGTTGATGGCCCTTTAAATGTTTAAAGTATTTCCTATCTATCATTTTATTTTCTCAGCAGAGGTCAGTAAGGTGTTGGCCAAATTTGCCTAAGAACCCATGTCCAAGAATTGTCTTTCCATAAGAGCCCACCACTAATAAACATAACAAAATTATTTTATTCACTCCTCAGGACTCTCACTACAACATTGGGAGTTCAGAGTTTTAAAAAATTTAGTGTCATTCCATTGCTTTATCATTAAATCTATTGGAAGCAAATCCAGAACCCTCATTTGGGTCTCTCTGAAAAATGACACAAGCGGTTACCAATGTCGTCTCTGAGATTTGTCTCTGAGATGATTCAAATCTATAAAGCCAATTTTAAGTTCAGTGCTCCAAGTAAAGGTAATAAATTTATGTATATAAATTCATATATTTATGTATATAAAATATTCATTCTAACAAGTGATTCACTAGATGAGAAATAGTTTAAAAGCACAATAGGGGACTCTCTCTCTCTGTCTTGGAATTTAATGGATTGAGGTTGGGAATATTGGGTGGATAGGTAGCCAGTTGACATGGGTTTGCCTCCATGAATGGAGGGTTTCCCTGTGAGACTTGAAAACCCCAGGACCATCCACAGCATGCATGGCCAGTTTCAGCTAACCAAATAAGCATGAGATGGACATGGAGAGCGAATCACTTTCTCACCCTTAGCTGGTCCCTCCAGGTCAGGGTGTAAACACGCTGGCAGGGTACTGTGGGCAGGCCTGCACTGCAGCCGGAAACACAGAACTTGTTCTGTGGATAAATGGAAAACTCCGGTTCAATCACCGGATGTGGCCAGCCCA